TTTTTTAAATCAAATGTAAATTCCTGTCCCAGTCACATGTTCTTGGTTAAATAAATCAAGAAAATAATATTATTAACTATTAAATAATAGTTAAATAGACCTTTAACACTAGCTTGCTCTATTCTTTTTCTATTCTATCTGTTTTGTTTTTATTTATTATATTATTTAAAAAACCCTTGCTACATGTACTGCGTTAAGCTAACTGAGACTTGTGTATTATTGCTCTTCTGTTGATTTTGATTCCTTCTATTGTCCTCATTTGTAAGTCGCTTTGGATACAAGCGTCTGCTAAATGACTAAATGTAAATGTAAATAAACATTGCTTACACTACCAGAAAAAACAACAACAAAAAACTATTCTATTTTATATTTTTACATTAACAATGTAATCAATATTCTGTTTATTAAAGCCAAGTAAGAATCTCATCAAGTTAGTATTTTTAAGCATTTTACATTTATTCCAAAATAATAACTGAAGGCAGTAACAATTTAAACAATATATTTTATTTGTGAACTTATGTTCAGCTATTTTTTTTATTAGTTTTCTTTTAACTATTTTAAAATTTTTCAGATCATCAGTCATCAAAGCTCTGTAAATATTGGTCACAGACAGAGATTTACTTTCAATTTCACCAAGCTGAAAAACTCCCACTGATCATGTTTTCAGGCCATTTTAAGTCTTATTTTGATGTAACAAATTATATATCTAAGTGTGTGAGTTGTTTACTTACATTTTTTAAATGAGTCTTCCCATTAATGCCATATTGGTAATTCAGACTGATTCGCGAATGCGGAACACGCATGAACACAAGAGGCGGGATTTATTGCACGAACCAATCACAGCCGAGCATAACCAGTCAGATCCAATCATATCACGATGGAGGCATTGTCTCCTCTCACGTGACTCCCCCATCCATTCTCAGTTACCCCCCACCAAACTCAACGCACGCTTTAGGGGGTCTGTTAAAACTCAATGGGCTCAGGGGAGGCAAGAGAGGCTCCCGCTGTTACTTTACCTGCTGGTGTCGCTGTTGGACAGTGTTTCTTTAGAAAAACGAGTGATTTATACACTTTTTAATGTTATATTTTGTAATATTAGCATTGTTTTATTTTTGTACTACGATTTTTTTTCTCATCCAATATTTTGAGGAGACACTGCTCTGCCTCCCTTGCCTACTTGGAGGAAACGACCCTGATATATAAATATACACACACACACACACACACACACACAGATTTCATTGTTATTTATTGTTTCCCTCCTACAGGATTCAGTTTTAATTGTGGAAACTTGTTGTAACGTATCCATTTTTAAAGCAGTTGTTAACAT